CCTAAGTCCTTGCTTGCATTCCAGCAGCAGCCACCAGCAGTGCTCCCGTGGAACATGAGTCCTGACAAGTCTAACACTCAAACATGAGTAAGCCCTACAGTGGGGTGTGTGGTGGGGTTCTCTGTGACACAGCTGAGGGGACAACCTCGGAGAAGTTGAAGAATGGAGCCCATTTGATATTTGTAGAATTCCGTGCACTTCTGCAAAGACTTCATTATAGATGATTTTCTTCTGTAGTGAAGAAAATGCTGTATGGGATGCTGAGACTCACCTCCCTCTCCCCCCCCCCCAAAAAAAACCCCAACCTTGGCTTGTGCAGATAGACCTAGCTCTGTGCCAGTTAGAGCTTATTCTATATGTATGCCCAATCTGATTCACCTCCTGCCCTATTACAACACATCCTCAACCCCCAAATGAAGATTGTAATTTCTCATTTACATTAGGTGCACGCGTTCATGCCTTGTTTTCCTTTGGGCTTTTCCCATATCCTGAGCCAAAAGGAAATCTTTGTGCCAGCTAAGTTTTTGCATGCTTCAGTGTAGCACCAGACCATGTTCTTTCTGTCTCTTTACAGAATTCCAGTTCCCAGCTCTGCTTACCCACAGATGCTAGCAGCACAACTGAAAACTTGCTCACTTGGGATCTACAGAGAGTTAATTTATTAGCGTTTGGAAGCCTTTTGTGCTTTTCAAGAAGGTGGGCTTGTCCTAGGAGCAGCAGATCACAGAGGTTTTTACCCGGCTCTCAGCAAAAGTGAGGTGAGAGGTACAGGAAGATCTGGGGAGGAGGGGTCTTTTTATGTCACTAACACAAACCCAAGTCCACTGAATGCAAAGAAAAGGCATGCTTTAATGTCTCCAAACTGCAACAATACAAGGAAATATGCAATTTTCATTCCAAATGATGGCCAGGGTCATAACTTTCAAAGAGGACGTGTGTCTCGTCGTCTTAAACTGGCCTTGCAAATTCCTTCTCTGCCTAATCTAAAGACTTCTCAAATGAGCCTGCTTGTCACCTGTCTGTAACAGCTGCAAGTGCCTGTTTCAGATATTTCAGAGGTACAGAAGTTGTTCATTCTTTCTGAAGACAGCTGTCTGACAGATCAAAACAGAAAGGAAATGACCAAAAGCGGAGACACTGAAAATGGCGTCATTATAAAGGAACATTCTTCCCTCTAACATTTTTGGTTCTTGGGTTAACTCCTGGCTCTTGCTTTGTATCCGACATCCCATTGGTTAGGCTGTAGCATTTCAGCTGCAGCAAGTGCAGCTTCCCGGTTTTTTGTGCTGAAACACGGAGATCCTGGGTTATCTTCACTTGTTCACGGTCAGCAGAGTCTGTAAGCATTTGTTGTTTGGACAGGATGCGTATCCAGATCAGCTATCTTTCTAGTGCGTGTACCATAAGTAGCTTTTAATTCTTTTGATGGAACAATAAATGTGATCCTGTGAATTAACTGGTGTAGTATACAAAGCTGCTTCTCCCTACTCAGTGTGCCTCCGTTACTAATCTCTCCCAACCAGGAGCCTGCAGTCTCCAGTAACGGGTGACTCTGGATTCCTGGGTGAAAGGAAACGAGGTTGATTTCTCGGAGGAGGATTTGCTCCCTTCTGTAGCAGCTTAGTTCCTGCCTTCCTAGGTAAGTTCTGATGTAACATGTATCTGATCTTCTCCCCTTTGAATGGGTTCAAAGTCCCACCTCAAGACCCAACTTCTATGGCTAGTAAAGGGAAATAATACTCTGTGGTGTTAAGTAAGGATTTCACTAACTTAATGAGCTAAATATCTTTCCAACTTCAATTCTGGATGGGAGTTCTTTTTCCACTAAAGTTCGGGTTTGGAAATGTCCATAATAGCCACAATTAGATTTCCTCATTGGTCTGGTTAGATTCAGAGTTTGTGTTTTTTTAAAAAGACCACTTTTTGCTACTGTATTTGACTCCTGCACAAAAGCTTCTCTTTGTTTGTTTCGTTGGGGGGGCAGCAACCCCCCCCCATCCTCCCCAAATGAGTAGGTAGAGATGGTGTTGCCTGTCTGGGAGAAATACCAGCTGTAACCCTTCTCGGGCCTTGATTTACCTGCTGCTGGATAGGTGTTCAGAAGGTTTAATACGTTGTATTTGTTTGTAGAAGTGTCTAAAATGACCCACATTCTCTGATTCTTAGTCGTCATCTCTCTAAAATTGGGTTGGCAACATCTTCTGATATAAAGTTTGTGGTCTTCAGCAGTCCAGAGCTTCATCCCATCTTACCTCTCAAATCTTAGGGAAATGATATGTGATACATGTGATATCACACAGATATGATGGTGTAATTTTAGGGCCTTAAAACACTTCTGTCTTCCAAACTCTGAACTGATGTATATGTTTAGTAAATTAGCTTTTCCTGAGAAGCCACGGGAGCGTGGTTGCAAGATCTGATGGCTTTGAATGCTCTAGATCTGTGCTAGACCTGTGCGTGATATTCAAGTGGGAATGGGTGGGACTGTAAAGAGGCAAGAAGAAGAGAGGGAACTTCTCACATTTGTTTCTAGACTCAGAGATTAATTAAGTGTTGGTTGGTAGTTAATGAAGTCACTAATCTCAAAAGCGATGTTGAAAGTAAAGTTCTAGAAATCTAATATATGGTAATTTCGTAAGGTACTCCTAATAAAATAGGAGCTGGAATTTGCTGCTGTCTCGTATCGTTACTGCTGTGTGGTTGTGAACCTCCAATTTTTATGTAGTGACGCAAAAGGGTGAAAGTTTGTGATGGAAATTAGTAACTGTTTCTGAAAGGTATCTATTTGTTGTGCTTCTCAGATATCTATTAAAAAAAAAAAAAGTTGCAGTACAGGAGGAAGATTGAGGGCAGAGGGAATGTAAGACAGATGTATTTTTGTACGCCTGCCTTCACTATGAACATCTTTCACGCATTTAGTGGTGTTCTATACTTGGCTTTTCAGATCGGTTAGGTTTAGTACGTACAGCCTGCTGTCCTGAAATGTAAAGCACCGAGTTGCTTCAATCACATGAAGATGTTCCATGTCAAAACTTATTTTGAATTCTGACTTTTTTTTTTCCTAAGGCACATTATCAGGTTTTTTTTTTCCCTTGCATGTATAGACATAGAGAAATGAAACCAGCAAATATCTCCACAGAGGAAAATGGAAGTGATTCAAAGAATTGCTAAGTATCATAATCTGGTTGCAGGCATTGAATTTTTTTATGACAGGGTTCTAGCTTTAGAGAATGGAGTAGGCTTTTCTTAGTCTTTTGACGTCTGTAACTTCAAAATTGTTCCTAAAATAGGAAGACTTCATTCACTTCTGAGACCAGAAATCAGAACCTGCTGGGAAGAAAAGGGCAAAAATTAAAAAATAAATAGGTTATGCGCTTTTAAAAAGAATCATTTAAGCAGTTATTTCTGTTGTTTAGCTTTGAAAGGGAAAGGACACAGCGGTGAAGTTAGGAGAATTGATTATATCTGTGTTCTGCAATGGCTTCTGCTGCTTGGTTTGTGAGAGAGATTACTTGGGACCTCTCTTTGTCTTTGGTTTCTCTGAAGGCTTAAGTATGCCCTCTGATCGCTGCAAAAAGCTTTGTCAGCCACAAAAGACTTGGGGTGATGCAAAAAAAAAAAATTCCATTTAGACAAAAATGTAGGTGTGGATCTTTGTTCCCTTGAGACTGTACAAGAATTTGTAGAACTCGAGAGATACGAATGTATTTAGATAAAAACTCACCCCAGAAACACAGGCGTGGTTGCAAAAATGCTGAAGAACTGCTGGAAGATAAAGCTGTTCTTAGACTTCCTCCATTTGGGGAAGTGGAGAGGTTAGTGGGTGCGCTCCCAGCAGAGATGAGATCCTACGAGGCAGCCATGGCCGTTGTCCAAAGTGAGTGGGACTACTTAGGCTCAGCTGGAGCAGAGCTGCAACCTAAGCTTGTGAAATTGCACTGAGCGACAATGGGAAAAATGTGAGCTGGGCTCAGCCAGGACGTTGACAATCACTTACCTGAATGCCTGGGGGTGGGATCCATCCGTGTATTCTTGTGCAATGGGTAGCTGGGAAGGGAGCAGCAGCAGGGGGCTCGTCTTAAGGAGGACGGGGTGTTTACCAGGAAGCCGGTGTCAGCAGGACAGGCAAAAGTTGGTTTTGCATTGGATGTAGAGTGGATACAAGTGGGGGGGCAAGTCAGGGACTTGGAGGCATTTCGGAGCTGAGTGTGCCATTTCTTTTTTCACCTGCCCCTGAGCCTGGGTCCAAAGCAGGCTGCAGCCGCTGCGAGGGGCAGGCAGCTGGGGGGCTGACAGGGCCAGAGTCCCTTGGCTCAGCCACCGGGGCAGGACGCTGGGGCCCTGGCAGCCGCTGGGGCCAGCAGCATGGGCAAGGTGAAGTAGTCAGATTCCCTCCTTTCACCTCTTTTGTGCTGTTGAAACAGGCATGAGTCAGTCTTCACGTATAGCGGAGTTTGTCGTGCTGGTACCTCGGACTGAGTAGCTGGGCGGTTGGGTGTGGTTCTGTCTTCTCATGTGTCTGTTCACCTTTTCTCTGCGCTGTACTCCCTCTGCGCCCATCATCCGCAGCGGATTGAACTGTTGCTGCAAAGGGGGGATCATCTTTCATTTAAGAAGATGGAAACTCATGACTTAAACCTTGTTTATCATTTGTCCTATCCTCAAAACCACAGACTTTCAGTTACTAAATGTGGGGAGAGCGTGAGCGTCCTTCTTAACGTCTTAAAAATCAGTCAGGAAGGTATTTTGAAGACTGAAGTTTGGACTACATCTAGCAAGGGGAAAGAGCTGTCACTCAGCGCAGATCTGTTTATAAATACTGCTCTCCGGAAGACAACTGACAATTGTAATGGGGCTAATTCTCCTAGCAGCATTGCCATAACACCATCAGGGCTGTCTGGCACCGCACAGGATATTTCTTCCATGAAAGAAAACTAATCCTAAGCAAGATGGTTTTAGTGTGAGTTATGTTCCTTGAAGTGCTATTACAGCAAGTAAAACAAGTGGCATCATTTTCTCAGTGTTTTAAAATAAGTTACCCTGAAATCAATATGGATTTATTCCTTGTCTCTTCCCACAGTACCCAGAAGGATCTTTCCGTTCCTCTTTCAGACAAAAATATATCTTCATTTAATGCATATGATGTATGGCACCTGCTGTAAAACGTGATGTACATTTGATTGACTGTCTTGAACCAATCGATTCCCTGCCCCCAAGCAATTCTGGCCGACCTGGGGGTGACAAGTAGGAAGGGTCCCCTTATGGACTTGTGACGCTAGACTTCACAGATCCTACTTTTCACTGAACGATGGCTTAACTTCCTTTTTCATATGAAAGTGTGATTTCTAGTCATTTTTTTTTTTTCATTCATAAGGTGAGTAATGCCTGACTTTTTTTGTTTAACGTACATGAAGCCTTGTCTTGTTTACTTGCAGAAGATGGCCGAAGGCTGCATATACTGGCTGGGATTTTTCAGGGCTTTATGGTTTGTAGTTTAAAAATCAGAAGTCAAATTTGGTTGTAGCGGGAGTGAGTTAGTTTAGCTGGAGCTATACGAGAAGATGATGACCTTACTAGTGTTTTCTGCACCAGAAGCAAATACTTTCCAAAGCACTTCAGCAGGCGGGGGACAGTGTAAATTCTGTTTATTTTCAGTGGCATCTCCATGGTTCTGAACCTCTTATCCAGACTGTGCGGGCTGTACCCAGCTAAGTAAAGAGTAGGGTTTAGGTCAGCTACTTCTGGTTCCAGCGTGGGATAAATGCATGGTTTGGAGCAACTTAAGGAGGTCTGGCTTTTAGGACAGCAGTTTCTTTGAGCAGAGACTTTTGGAGCAACTTTGGTCCAGAAATGGAAGCTTCACCAAGAAATGGTTCTGGAGCAAAACAAAGTGTTTCGAGCACCCACGTGTCATTGGATTCTGGGTTCTCCTGAAGGCCATAGCTACTATTTAAAAGATGAGCCTTATTCCCAAGAAACAGCTCAGCCAGCCCAACAGCAGTGCATTTGGCCCTGTTAGAGGAAACCTACTGCCTGCACAGCAGGCGCTCGGCTGTCTCCCTTAAATAAGAACAAGCGTAACAGAGCAGGGAGTCCTTTCTTACTGCTTATTACTACTGCAGCGATCTGATACGCAGTTACTTGCTGACAGAAATGTTAAAAATATTTCTGATTATCTGACTGACTGCAGAACTGTACCAAATACCTGCCCGTTAGCCAGTACTGGAGCATGTCAGAAGTGAGTTTGGATTCGCTCAAGGTGGTAATCAAATCCGAATCGCAGGCTCATGGGAGAGCTGCTCCCTGAAGGAAGAGATGCAGATGCTGTTGCGAGCCCACAAACGCTTCGTTGCTATTAAACCTTGCACTACAGGCGGTGGGGTTGGCTGCGTTGTGCTGAAACCAAAGGATAATTTTGAAAAAGGGGAGGGGAATCGATGGCAGGCTTTAGAGCTGGTGCAGAGCTGAATTTTATATTCTTTCACATTGTCACACTATTTCACTGAATCTTAGTATCTAAGTGTAGGTAAGTAGGTGATGAGCAACAGCTGCTGATAGCTGTGGGCTTAAGCTTCGAGAAGCATGACATCAGAATTCAGAACAACCTTTCCTATATAACAGGCATTTAATTATCCTTTTTAAGCTTCTAAAGTCTGCACCTTTTATGTCCAGATTTTTTTTCCCCCCCCTCTTTCAGACAGTAGCCAATCACATCCATTTTTGTGCCGGATTTAGTGTCTCAGTGCCTGTCTTCTAAGCTAAGTAAAACCAACAGCGTGGCTGGTTCATGTCTGAAGGCTGAAGTGTCCCTCCTGGCATGCAGATTCGGGCAAGGATGTGCTCACTTACTGCCTGCGTCAGACTGCTGAGAACTGTAAGGCCTGGTTAAAGACAGAAGGGTTCTACAGGCAGTTGTTTTTTTTGTCCAGCTCTCGCTGGTGACGGAGCCTGGATGAGCTGCTGTAACGCAAGATCGCTAAACCGAGTCCCCATGTGCCTCCTCTCATCGAGGCTGGGCCCCTTCAAGCAGATCTGCTCCAGAAAGGGGGGGAAGAAAATGCTTTGAGCCTTCTACTCACATCTGAAAATCTGCTTGGCAGGTATCGTATAACAAACTTCCTTCCCACTTACTTTATCTGTGTTGTGACGGAGCAGTCCCTGGGGACGTATTTGGTTGTAGCAGCACAGGGCAGTGCTCTCTGGCACCACAGCAGCTGGCTGCAGGTGCATTAAAGAGGAGAGCGGATGCTCTCCAGCTCTGAAATACAAGGCCACACAGGGGACAGAAGTAAGGCAAAAACAAACGGCCAGAGATCAGGACTCATGCAAGAGGGAGCATAGCAGTGCCTGTAAACAGCTGTTGTTGAAGAGGCATGCTGATTCCTTCTGGCTAAGCAACCTTTTTTAATGTACTGAGCCTGAAACAAGTTTGGGGATGGTCTTCTCCACTTGTTCTAGACAAAGTGAATGATTCTGTATTTCTTCCTGTCTATTCAAAACATGCTGGCCTGAGCCACACAGTAGTTTGCAAATGAGAACACAAACTTTGGCTAATGGAAGCGTTTACAAGTAAATGTAGAACTAGTGCTTGCTACTATTTTGGCAGCAGTTAGCTGTCTTAAAGAATTCAAGTACAGCTTGAAGGTCTAAGGCTGCAGTCAAACCTTGTAGGGAGCCCCAAGAGCAACTGTGCCTTCCTCTGCTGGCACCCAGGTGCAGAAGCACAGAAGGCAGAGGAAGGGCAGGGAGCGGTCTCATCTCTGCTCAGAAAACTGCTCCAGGCTGTTGCATGCCTATGTCTGCCCTAATGATGCTCTGTCATGACATATCAGGTGGCTTTGAGCACCAGGATGCAGATGTGCCCAGCAGGAGCGGTGACTTGCCTTCTGTGAAACAAACTGGTCAGTGTTCTTGAGTTTAAAGCCCCGTGGGATGGAGCAGGGCTCTGCTGGAGTAACCATTACTTAACAGCTTCTATTTCAGTTAATATTGTGAGACAGTACTAATCCGTGCAAGTGTTAGTGGTGGATTCTATTTCCCTGAGCTCACAGGGGTAGGGAAGTGTAGCGGAAGTGACTGGAGAACAAAACCATACTGAAATCGGTCATCTGGATACAGGTTAAGAGTGTTTGAAGCTCAACTGCACATGATAGGAACTGCTGCTGGCAAAAACATACAGCCCTTCAAATTCAATTTTCTTTGAGTAGTCTGCCTCCGCTCTGACCTTTTTAACAGATGCAGTACAGAATCGAGATGTTCTGAATTGACACTTCACTTTGCTGTGACCAAGAAAAAGCTCAGTTAGTAAAAAAAACTAAAAGAAACACACAGGAATTATTAAAAATTTTCATGCAAGTTTCTTTTAATTTTGAATTAATCAAATTTTTATTACTTAGTAAGAGGTACTTACAATACCCTGCAGAAGCAGTGCAAAGCCACAGTGTCTTGAGCCTATCCAGGGCTACGATTTTAGTTAAGAGTACAAATTCAGTGCAGAGGCAGCTTGGGCTGTACTTACTCATACCCAACCCTCCTTCTGCTGGGAGCAGCAGGCACCCATGTGCTTCAGCTCACATGTTGCTGTCCCAGAAGCCTGGCATAGGGGAGCTGAGCTTCCTTGCAGCCAGGAACCTGCTTAACAGCCTAGGCTGGAAAAGAAAGGCAGCCAGCAGTAGCCAGCTGGCTAGTTGAAAGGTAGTGTAGCTCATCAATGCTGATTAACTGATGCGCTCATGTGAGTTTGGTCTTGCTAGGCTGTTCCCTGTTCTTTGTGTGGGGAACCTCACACCTACACCAACTCAAGTTTTACTGCTGCCATGAACAAAAAGCCTTTCATAACGATTAAACTCTCACACTAAGAATAAGGTCTATTTTTCAGTTTCAAAGCAAGAGTCAGGAATACTACAGAACAGATTTTAGAAGTCTGTGCCTGGGGGAGAAGATGACCAAGCAGTCTTCATGCTACTCTCTCAGCCTAGCTGAACAAAAAACCCCAACCCCAAACCAGTAGGTCCCCACGGCAGTATCGTACTGAGAGACACTGCGTTTTTCTTGCTGTCCTCTCTTGCATCTGGTCAAGAATAAGAGCTAGTTACATGGATTACAGTGGACTTAGTAAGGCCTGTACATGTGCTAAGCTATTAGCAATACCCTGCTGTTTGTCAGGGGAGTTACCCTCCTTTACTTTCTCCAAAGCTGCTCTTTCTCTACTTTCCCAACAAATTGCAGAATATCTTCAGCAAGAAGTTCAGGTTCCTCCAAAGCTGCAAAGTGGCCACCTCGAGGCATGAAATGGAAGGAAACTATGTTGGTGTATTTCTTCCGGGCCCAAGCCTGGGGCGTGTGCATGACTTCATTAGGGAAGGAGGCAATGCCAGTAGGTACTTGTACGGGGAGCCTGCAAGAGGAGAGGGAATAACTTTCATCTTTCAAACACTTAGCCCGCCAAGAAATGGGAAGTCCCAAGGAAGTGTTGTTCTTAAACAGTTGGGTGTGCTGTTGTTTTGGGCAATTAAAATCTGAGTTCTAGATCCTAAATTTGAAGACTGGACAACACTTCCATTCCCAGGGCAGGGGGGAATTATTTTGCATACATTGATATTAAGGCAATTTTGCAAGTGCATCAGGGCACAAGAGTTAGAAGCATGGAAATTGAGAAGAGAGCCCTAGGAGGTGGTGAGTATCAAGCTTCCTCATGCTGCACTCAGGACTCGGGAGCCATGTATTGAGGGGAAAGCACAAGATTTGACAAGGACTGGAGAGAGATTTACAGTGAAGATTACAAGTAGGACTTGCTAAGCCTGGCAGGACAACTGGAGGGTAGGCAGGGGAAGAATTCTCTTGCACTGCTCTAAAGGGAGAGGAATAATAGAGAGTAAATCCAGACTGATTCAGAGGAAACATTTCTGAACATGAGAATTTACCCTGTAAAGTAGCTCTTGCTTTCATTTGAGGGGAAGACTGCCTTACAAAGTAGAATGATCTGCCCTTGTCATAAACAGAACAACATTTTCTAGGTTTAAATATCCCATACACATAAGCTGCATTGGCAGAAGCAACAGACTTCAAAATTCAGATACAAAAATCAGTGGGCACATAACCACTGGAAGCCTGAAGACAGGGTGCCTCATTTTACGTAGGTCTTTGAGGCTCCTTCCTTGAAGCACATAGAAGCTCATATAGCTCATCTCATGTAGGCAGAACTGGAGCAGGATACTGCCCACAGTGTAGCCAGAGCAGCTTCAAGAACTGAGTCAGCTTCCTGGGAGCATCATTTCACAGCTAAATAAATACCACAGCAGTGAGCTGTGGTTGCAAATACCTTAGGGCAGGTTTAAGCCTTCACTAATACTCAAGCTGACATAAGTACATGCAGCCAAGCTGCTGTCTTAAGTGTCTGCACAGCAGGAACATCAGTCTTAATGACTTTCAAATTATGCAGTTTGTCGGTATACTGATGTTGCTTCCAACGGTAGGACTTAAATCTTTTGCAGAAATGGGCAAACTATGTCCAGAAGAGTATCAGAACTACAAAACAAACCATAAACAAAACTGACTGCATGACTCAGTCACAGGCTAATTTAATAACTAAAGTCTGGAAGTACTTGCATGGGCTTTTCCCTAGTTGGATCCACCGTGAATGGGAGGTCCTCAAGCAGTGCCTCCGGTCAGATCTCCTCACTGACGGTTCAGGATTCTGCCCCAATTACTGTGTTTTCCAAGCACAACGCAGTTCATCAACTAACAGACCTGTCCTGCAGAGGAACACTGTGATACAGCATTGCTTTTCCTCAACATTCAGAAGCTTGCAGCAGCTATAAGACACAGGCAACCTGTCTGCAACCATAAAATTAAGTTCAGGGAAAAATATTTGAAGAAAAGACCCACTTACCTTTCATGTTTCTGTGTGCCTATCCCCTTCTGCATATTTTCTTTGTAGAAACGCATTGAGGAGACTATACAGCCTGACACCCAGTAGATCATGATATTGGTGAGCAGATCATCCAGGTTAAACTTCCTGAACAGGTAAGGCCAGAGATAGCTTAGTTAGAACCGAATACCATTTTGCATTACTTTAGCAGGGACCTGACTTTGGTTGAGTTGTAAGAAAAAGAGGTTTCGGGTTAAGAAGAGTTGAGAGGTGAAGTGTGTTACTCCCCCTCTGTCTGTCAGCGACCAGTTAAGCGTGTCAAAGGCTTTCAGACACAAACTGGGAAGTGATGTTTCAACTTCTACAGAGAAGCCAGACTCCAACAGGCACCTTATGCTCCAGCACAGCTGTCTATACTGTCCATAGACTGGGAGGGTAGGAGCAGAAGAGCACATGCATATTTATTAATAATAATCTGAACTGCTACCATGAGCCTTCAGTAGAGCCATCACACCAATGTGTGCGGCAAACAGTGCTTGTTTCGTATCAAATTATTAGCTGTGTGCAGTGCAAACATTCTGTTCAAATCCATTGTCACCAGACCTTTTCATAAAGTGCCCCTTTGCTCCACGCTACTGCCACGTATCTCAGCAATTTTCAAAGGGGACTTCATCTCAGATTTCTGCCGCACGCTAAGAATGATCCTTTATTAGCAAACAGTAGATAGATGAAGCAATACTGATCAATTTAAAGCAACTTTGTACAGAGTTAAGTATTGGTATTAAAATGAATCATGAGTTCTGTTTCCCAGCATTTTAATGCAGGTTAAACTTTTGCTTTTCTGTCCTAATTATATTCTTCCACCTCAGTCAGTTTTTAATCCCTGGAAGTTGTGGGGCATCTCTCTTTTCTAGGATATCAAAGTGGGAAGGGAGTACATCAGCCTCCATGGCCTATTTCTTTCTTTGCACGCTCTTAGGACAGCACCACACCATTTGTGGTCACTGCAGGCTCCCTGCGAGATGTGAAGTGACTGATTCAGACAAACTTCCTTCGCTATGACTCTGGGCTTAGCCACCTCATCCAAAATGGCATAAGAGGAAACGCTTACCTCTCTAGTCCTCCATCCTCTGAATCGCGGAATTCCAGATCGGTCCATGTAGAAAACTTCTCCAAGATGTACGCAGCCAGTCCTATGGGAGAGTCATTCAAACCACAGCCTGAAAAGGAGGAGGAAAATATAAGTAGAATTGCAATGTCTGACTGCTGAACTCAGACTGTGACAGAAGCGGCCCATTCTAACACAGGGTAGCTAACTTCGCAGAGCTGTTCCAGCAGCTGTGTGCTTAAATAAATAAATAAAATAGTAGAACAAGTTGGAGCCACTTACTATTGAATCATAAACTGACAGTATCTGCAAACCAACAGGCTCCATGTTAGCTCACACTGTATGTTTTTTCTGAACTGATGTAACAGTGTTGGATTTCTGCTGGCTTTTTTTTTCTTGTAAGGTGGTAAGATTAAGCTCTATGTGCCAAGTAGGGTTTGTTTCCATTAATCTGGAAGTTGTCATGTATTAAACAGCATTACAGGGCCAAACCTCACATGCCTACACATGACCAGGAGAATTTGCACCATTCTGTAACTGCAAAAACATGTTAAGGGTTATTAGAAAGTCGTTAAGGAAGAGCGAGGCTTTACTAAAAGGTCCATCTTCTGAATTTACTAGCCAACTGCCTTCATGTAGAACAAGGCTTAATATACTTTTTAGAGTTTATTTTTGCTTGGACAGAAAAAAAACACACCTGCACCTGGAACTCTGCTAATACATCCTAGTGCTGTGAAATACAGGCACCATAAACTGTCCCAGCTGCTCCGAAAAGCCTCAGAAAAAGCTTTTCCTGAGGAACAGCAGTATATTTGAAGTTCCATCCATGCAACCCAACCTTCCTGAAAGATGCCTAACACTACAGCTAGTACAATTTCATTGGTAATTGCTATTTAAACATGACAGTTGACTTTCAGTTATCAAGCGACATCGATAACTGAAATACCAAGTGTTTGAAAATGTTACACTGAGTCTGCTTCCCAGATCTGCAGAACCAGACAAGCAATAGCCTGCTCTCATACACTTACTGTGAACAAAAAGCACGTCAGTTTGCATATATGAAAAAATGACATTGGTGCTAACAGTACTTTGAATATAGGCACTGCCTGTTTCAGTCAGTTGAAAATGAACCCATGCTCCGTGCAGGTTTCCCAAAGAGTAAGTGTAAAATCAAATCCACGCAAGCCACTTTGATCAAAAGCCAGCTCTGAAGCAAGGAAGAGTATAGTGTTAGCAAGGGCAGTACATACCAAGAGCCAGAGACAACCTCCTTGCTTAGGACAGCTTGCAAGGTAGCTCTGTACCACCAGAAGTCTCAGGAAGACACTGGTAGCCTCCAGAGCTACGCTTCTTGCAGCTACCTTGTGCTCCCTTCTTCAGGACATCCTTCTCCCTCCAGGAACCTGCCATCTCCCATACTCCTCTCTTTTTTGTCCTCACAAT